AGTAGACATACCAAGAGCATTAATTTACTTGTTTATGATATATATGTATATATATATATATATATATATATATATATATATAAACTCTTATAAAAAGCAACGTGTATGAAAACCCTACTTTTAAAAATAAGGTGACCATTTATAGGCAGAGAATCACTATGGAATTCTTCTAAATAACATTCTCTAGTTCATTCTGGAAAACATTTTTAAGGTACTTTTTTCCCCAAATATTAATATTCACACAGCTTTACAGAAACATCGATTACATGAAGTTAAAGTATACTACTTTAGGTTCATTATATGGTTTTGTTTTTTATATGGTTAACTTAGACTATGACTACTATATTCCAAGGATGAAATCATAATTTTCTTATTTAAGAATTCTGTCAAGGCTTAGGAGATGAGGTAAGATGGTATATCATTAAGCTATCTGGTAAAACTATTCCCTAAAAATTTAAGAACATCAGATAATTTAAAGTGAGAAGATTGCATATTTTATCTGCTAATCATAACTAATATTGTGCATTTTCAGAGAAAGAGGGAAGAAAGGTGAAAGAAGCATTCAGTTCCTTATTCTACCTTTGACCTAGCAATTCTTTAGCAGTATTTACCTTAGAATTAAAACTAATTAACTTGGGGGCGCCTGGGTGGCGCAGTCGGTTAAGCGTCTGACTTCAGCCAGGTCACGATCTCGCGGTCCGTGAGTTTGAGCCCCGTGTCAGGCTCTGGGCTGATGGCTCAGAGCCTGGAGCCTGTTTCCGATTCTGTGTCTCCCTCTCTCTCTGCCCCTCCCCCGTTCATGCTCTGTCTCTCTCTGTCCCAAAAATAAATAAAAAATGTTGAAAAAAAAAATTTTTTTTTTAAAATAAAATAAAACTAATTAACTTGTTTATGATGGCAGGCTTTATTTGCCTGCAGTTTAGAAACTGGGTAATAAATCACATAAGCTAATACTTAGATATGGGTATTCATAAAATTTACCTCCCGAGACAAGTTGTAGGAAAAGTTATACTTGTAGTTATAGACTTGGATTATAACCCTATAACTATCAAGCTTTTGAAAATTAGGCAACCTAATTTTTTTTAATCTAGTAATTATCCTTTCTAGTTCAGTGCATGTATCTTATTTTGGAATTAAGATGCAGAAATAATCATTTGGTAATGTTACTAAAAAATGTTTAATTTTGAACCACTTCTATGACCAAAATCAAGTGATTATCTACAGGGTCTTTTAAATAAACTGACTCCTAAATTTAAATATTTCTGTCAATGCTATGTTTTAAAATATATATTTGATTTAATCATAGATCTTATTTTTACCATTTCAGAATCTGTGAGCTGCTTGGTATATATGATGAAGGAAACTTTAGCTTTTCAAATGCTTGGACTTACTTGGTTATAATAAACAACATGTCACAATTGGTAAGTAAATATTTTATTTATTTATTTATTTTTAAAAATTATTTTAAGTAGACTCTATATCCAGCATGGGGCCCAAACTTAAGATCCTAGGATCAAGGGGTCACAAGCTCTACTGACTAAGCCAGCCAGGTATCCCAATAAATATTAACTGTATTAAATTAGTATCTGTGACTCTAAATTTTCTTAGGAAAAGTTTGAGAATGAAGTTTGTTATTTTTTAATCTTGAAATTTCATTTATAGGAAAGAACCTGAAGAAATTTTAACATGTCCTTATACATATATAAAGATATAATATCTTTGGGTTAATTATTTGGTGACTTTTACCTTGACCTGTTGATCATGTTTGTTCATTTGGTTGTGGTAGTCACTACATAGTTGTGTGGATATGTCATAAATAAAAGCACAATGCTCTCCTTAAAATATACATAACCAGGGCATACTCAATAAGAGAATATATCTAATTGGATTATGACAGTACAAGGTTTGAATAAAAATGGGAGAATAAAATACTCTTATGTATTTGGAATTAAAGGAAAATTGTGAACGCCAAGTTTTAAAAAAAATGTTCTAGAGGGGCACCTGGGTGGCTCAGTCGGTTGAGCCTCTGACTTTGGCGCAGGTCATGATCTCACTTTCCATGAGTTTGAGCCCCACTTTGGGCTCTGCTGACAGCTTGGAGCCTGGAGCCTGCTTCAGATTCTCTGTCTCCCTCTCTCTGTCTCTGTCCCTCCCCTGCTCATGCTCTGTCTCTCTCTCTCTCTCTCAAAAATAAATAGAGGTTAAAAAAAAAAAAAATTAAAAAAAATGTTCTAGAAACTGAAATGCTCTAAAAAAATAATTGTCCGATCCTTTCAACTTAAGAACTTGCACTTCATTTAAATCTTTAATGTTTTCAACAAAATAATAGGTGGAATGACATGCACGTGTGTTATTAGATGTTTATAATAAAAATTATATGCCTGTGGGAACATCTGGGTGGCTTAGTCGGTTAAGCATCCAACTTTGGCTCAGGTCAGGTCATGATCTCATGGTGCATGAATTCAAGCTCCACTCTGAGCTCCCCACTCTCAGCATGGAACCCACTTTGGATCCTCTGTCTCCCTCTGTCTCTGCTTTTCCCCACCTCGTGCTTTCTGTCAAAAATAAACATTTAAAAAAAATTATATGCCTGTGTATTTAAAGCTTTCCCTTATGTTCATGTTCTTTAAAACCAGTAATTCCATTAATGGGAATGTAATCCTCAAGAAGTAGTTGTAAGGGGGTGCCTGGGTGGCTCAGTCAGTTAAGTATCTGTCTTGGTTTCAGTTCAGGTCATTATCTCATGGTTTGTGGGATAACCCCTCATGGGGCTCTGCAATGACAGCGTGGAGCCTGCTTGGGATTCTCTCTCACCGTTTCTCTCTCTGCCCCCACTCCTGCTCATACATGCATGCACGTGCTCTCTCTCAAAATAAACATTAAAAAAAAAAAAGAAATAGTTGTGTTTTTGGTTTGTTGAATATCTTTGTATATACAGACTATTTGTAATAGCAAAAGACTGGAAACCATTCAAAGCCCAGTGATAACGACTGGTTAAATGTATGATGGTCCTTCCACTGGTCAAAATACTAGGCAGTAATTAAAAATAATCCTTATGAGGGGCCAACCTAGTTGGCTCAGTCGGAGGAACTTGCAACTCTTGATCTCAGGGTTGTGAGTTGGAGCCCCATGTTGGGTGTAGAGAGTACTTAAAATCTTTTAAAAAGTAATAATAATAATCCTTATGAAATATATGAAAAAGTAAGGTACTTTAAGTGAGGGAAAATCAGGCAACCAAATTTTATTTTCAGTTGGTGATACCTGTTAAAAACCACCTATATGTAGAATGGAATGGTTGGACAATGGGACTATAGACAACTTTATATTTTACTTTACTGCTTTTATATTCTAAAATATTTCAAAGAAACATTTTCTATGACTGTAATGGGAAAAAATAAACTTTTAGGGAAATGTTTATTGCTATGTACACTATACTACGTTATTACAATTGATTTTTAAAAAATAGTTAATACTGTCTTGAGCGTTTATTTTAAAAAAGTAAATTCAGCCAGATTAACATACTGCCCTCAAGAAAAATTGTTGATTCCTTACTTTCATTTTTCATGGGCAAATTTTATTCAAATAGTACTTATTTACTGTGTTTTATAAATAACATATATATAATAGAGTAAGGTAGACTAGTCAAACTTAACTTTTACAAAATTAATGATAATTTGTATATAAAAGCAATTAATAAGCCGATCGATATATTTTTATCTTGGCTGAGGGACAGCCTTTTCTTCCTTTCATGACAGTCACTTGGTCATTGTTTTCTTTATGGGTTCCAGTAAGTGAACACTTAAAGCCACTTTCAGGGAAGACATTATGCATCTCTTATTAGAAATTTCATATCATTATTTTCATCCCCAGTAAACTATAAAAGCTTGTTGTTAATCTAAAAATAACAGAATAGAAAACCTAAAAAAAAATTGCCTGAACCATGACTGTGTACCAGGTTCTGGTTTATAACTAACTGTATGATTTCTGTTACCATATTTAATTATTCTTATTGAAGAAGTTTAACTGTTAATCTTGTTTCTAGTTTGCCATGTATTGTCTGCTGCTATTTTATAAAGTACTGAAGGAAGAACTGAGTCCAATTCAACCTGTTGGCAAATTTCTTTGTGTAAAGCTGGTGGTTTTTGTTTCCTTTTGGTAAGTGTTGCTTTCTCTTAAATGTTCTTAGTTTCTACAGGGTAATAATACTGTTGACTAGGGAGGATTTTCAAAATGGTCTTAATGTAGAAGATGAATTAAAATGTCTCTACTTACCTTTTAAAAAGTTCATCCTTTTAGCCCTTCTTGGTTTTTCATAAAGAAATAATCAGATAGTTAGCATAACATTTACAAGAAAATAATTTGAGACAATCTAAATGTCTCAACACTAGAGGAATCATTAAAATATATCATGGTCCTTTCACATAAGAGAATAGTCTGCAGTTTGGAAGATAAATATAGAATATTTAATACTGTGAGGTATAATGTTCATTAGTAAAATACATTCTTTAAAGCAGAAGACAAAACTGTTCATGGTCCCAATTTAGTGAAAGAGTGGGTGATAGGGGACCTAGAAACAAATATACTAACATACAAATATGAAAAGGGGAAAAAGAATAATCCTTGAACTCCTCTACCACCCAGAAAGAATGATTAACATTGTGGTGCACATAATGTCACATATAAAATTCCACAGAAATGGTTTCATACTATAAAAACTTGTAGAATTCAATGATATATTCAGTATATTGTGTATATAGTTCTTAGTCTATAAAGTGAGGATATAATTTTCTTGTTGTTTGGGTTTGTTTTGTTTTTTGGTTTTGCTAAGTATTCTGTTCTGTGGATGTAACTTTTTAACTAATCTTCTATTGACATTTAGTATGTTCCTGATTTTTTCACCATTACAAGCAATATTGAAGTAAAATTCTTATATGCAGAAATATGAAAACTCATCTTACTATCTTATTATTAGCTGTCTAAATTTCACCTAGGGTTATATCCATAGATGTGCTTGAAATGTTCAGTGTGACTCCATCTTGGGAGTCTGACACCTTCTGAGTTTGTCTCTAGTTCCAGCACTTCAAACAAGATGGGTTTTAATGTTTTAAAGAATAATCTGGATAATTAAGACAGGTGTAAATAACATTGAAGTATCTGTCCTGTATTTTATTTTAAATGCCTGATATACAAGGTGTTAGGCATTGTCTATGTATAGGAAGCATTTGCTTGTACACACTTTCAAAACAAAAAGACATAGAAACCAAATACTGAAGTTACATATATTTAAAAATACATAATGAAAACTCATACAATGAAACTATACTAGAAGAATAAATTTGTAAAGCAAATAAATGTTTTTAATATAGATATATGCTATAATATAATATGCTATGAAGACAGGGTGGTGGTGGTGGTCCACAAGTTGTGAGGGTTAACTTTTTTAAATGGCATATTTGTAAAACAACTGCTCATTTTATGCTTGATATAGATTTGGCGTTTACCTTTTCCTAACATATAGGCAAGCAGTAGTTATTGCTTTGTTGGTTAAAGTTGGCGTTATTTCTGAAAAGCATACATGGGAATGGCAGACTGTAGAAGCTGTGGCTACAGGACTCCAGGTTAGTGCTATCTGTGAATTTAATACGATTTTACTATTTACCCATTTTACATATTATCTCTGAAACCTGACAGCAAGCAGGCTGTGGGGCTACTATTCTCACTTCACAAATGAGGAAACGGGGAAGTGTAGGGAAACTAGCCATCATCACTCGTGGTAGAGCCAGGAATAGAACCTAGAATTTGTTTTTCCTTCTTTCTCTGTGCATTTGTCTTTAGTCCTTGGGCAGTGGATTGAGAATGCACTGTACTTTAAGATATACTTGATTGGGGAGTATAAAGGAGGTTTAGATTTTTGCCATTTTGCCTTTTTTTTTTTTGAGGTCAGAGACAGTTATTTTGGAAAATGAGTATAATACGGGGAAAAACAGATGTCAATACTTAAATACTTTTTGAAAAGAAAGATAGTGCTTTTATTTACAAAACTAGATTTAAGCTCAAAGATGGCTGATGTTTTTGTTGCTGTTGTTGTTGTAGGACTTTATCATCTGTATTGAGATGTTCCTTGCTGCTATTGCTCATCACTACACTTTCTCATATAAACCCTATGTCCAAGAAGCAGAAGAGGGCTCATGCTTTGATTCCTTTCTTGCCATGTGGGATGTTTCAGATATTAGGGATGATATTTCTGAGCAAGTAAGGCATGTTGGTAAGTACCAGCCATTTCATTCATCCAAACAGGTTATTGGAGTTCTCATACTAGGGCAATTTTGTAGCTATTTTTAAGAGATGAAAAGACTGTTTAAAGCAGTACCAGTAAAATTGGGGGTGGGGAGGTGGAACTTATTTTTAGCATGGTAAGTTTATAGTGATAAAAATAACTTTTGGCTAATTTGAAAACCTTTCTATTACTTTAAAGGGAGGACAGTCATGGGACATCCTAGGAAGAAGTTTTTTCCTGAGGACCAAGATCAAAATGAACATACAAGCTTGTTATCGTCATCATCACAAGATGCAATTTCTGTTGCCTCTTCTGTACCACCTTCACCCATGGGTCATTACCAAGGGTTTGGACACACTGTGACTCCCCAGACTACGCCTACTATGGCTAACATACCTGATGAAATGTATAATGACACTACAGGAGAGAAAAATGAACTTTCAGATAAATCTGTGGCCTCCTGAACAAGTGTGCAGAAGCAAACTATGCTCCTTCTACCATGTTATTTCATCACTTGGTATCCCATTGCTCAGGATTTTGTGCTTGGGACAAGCCATAAATGATGGAAAGTTTTCAACACAAAGAAGGTGAGAAAGCCAGGTACAACTACTGGATTTATATAACTGAGTTTTGTATATCACAAATAATCAGTCTAAATATCCTAGACTTAGACTTATTTCTTAACATTAGAGTATCACATACTCAAATGGTAGAAAATGACTCTACTAAATGTTCCTGGTGTTACATTGCTTTATGAGGAGGATGGACATTAAAAAAAAAAAAAAAAAAAAAAATCAATGCTTCTACCACTGCTGCATGAATAGAACGCTCTGGAATTTAGCAGAAAGTATAATTTGGAAACGCGAATTAGTGGAACTTAATCATGTGCCATATATGCCTACCTAACAATTATTTCTCTATTTCTCAACTGGATGTCTTTCAATAAATAAGAATTTATCATTTATTTTCTGCAATTTTTTGTCTCTCATTACTTCAACATAAACTCTTAATGTTTTTTTCAAAAAGTTCTTGATTAGAGGCACAGCAAAAAAGAAATAAGTGCAAAAAAATTAAAGATTAAAGATTACACACCTACAATGAAGGATACCTATATCTTCTATTCCTTTTAGAAGAAATAGGACCTAATATAAATCTTAAAACAACTACTATCTAAAAATCTTATTTGCAACACTACTAATAGATTAGTAAGTTATCCATGATTTTCAGATGAAAAGAATAAACTGGATAGAAGATTGGGAGGATAAATAAGAAACTTATTGGGCATCTGGGTGGCTCAGTCGGTTAAAGCATCCGACTTCGGCTCAGGTCATAATCTCATGGTTCACGGGTTTGAGCCCCACATCGGGCTCTGTGCTGACAGCCCAGAAACTGGAGCCTGCTTCGTGGATTCTGTCTCCCTCTCTCTCTGCCCCTCCCCCATTTGTACTCTGTCTCTCTCTAAAATAAATAAAACATTAAAAAAAAAACACTTATGATAACAATGGAGTCTACTTTTCCTCAATGCTGTCACAGGTGTCAGCAAATAAATCTAGGCTGAGTAGTCTTAATTATTCATTAAACCATAGTCAGAAGACATGTAGGTGCTATTTGGGAGACACTTCTTACTTAAGATGGAGTTTCTCAAATTGCTAATCACAACCAACTGGGTTATATACTGCAAATAAAATCTAGAAAGTGCCAGAGTAGTATGTTACAAATAGCAATAAATGTTATTTCTCAAAATCTTTGCTTTATATATTTATGCACACACACATTCACATACATACACTGGTTCACTGTAATTGGAGTCTTTATTCTGTCCACTATTATAAACATTTCTATTGAAAGTAAAGCTGGGTAGTATAATACTAGAGCAACAAGAACAGGCAATGTAGAGAGAAGGTATGTCTTATTTTCTTTGTGGCTTACTTACAAAGAGCACACAGTATTTACAAGGCACATCTTATTAATCTTCCTGTTGCAAGTCTTTAAAAATTGGACCAATTATTATATATTTCTTACTGCACATATGGATCAAAACTTTAAAAAATACTGATTTAGGTTTACCTCATTCCTGAACTTACCATCTTTTTCATTTTCTTTGCCAAAGTAGACCAGGAAAAAGGCTGCCTCTTTAAAACTTTACTTCATCCTTAACTCTTTAACTCTCATAATTAGATTTAGCTTATAGCTATAAATTCTTACTCAGGTTTGCATTCTCCAAACACAAAACCCAAGGAGTTTCAGAAACATACTAAGTATTTAAAAGAAGCAAGCTTGGAATTTATAAGTAACCATAACCCTGTCTTCAACTGAAGCCAACTTTCTGATATATCCCAATTATAAGTTTAGACTTAAAAAACTCAAGATGCCTAAAAAATTAAAAGTTTTGCTTTGCTTACACAGGACAATGAAGACGGGACTCAAATCCCTTATATTTATAGATTTAGAATGTAGACTAAAGTGTTTAGGAAAATTGAACCCATTGTAAGTACAACCAAGCAATAAAAACAAAGCTTACTTACTTGAAAATGACAGCCTTTTTGAAAAAAGAAGTCTGCAGCAATATTTTTATAATAACGCTCCTCTTTAAAATCTTTTAAATATACTTTATTAATCAATTTAAAAAATATTTAACCATTACAAGGAATTAAATCTTTATACCCCCATTTCATGAATACAATTCCACTACTAATTCAGACCAGAACTGCATACTTGCTGCTCTACCTGAACAGTTTTTCATTAGAAAACTACTCTTCATTGTTTTACTGTGATGCTGACATTGCTTTTGTGATGCTGGACACTGAGTACTAATTCTTCTCCCATTTCCACCTGGATGGGATTATCTAATACAACTGCAGCTTGTTTCCAGTGGGAGGCTTCACTTGAAGTATCCAACCTAATCTCGTCATCAAGGTACATATGATACCAAAAGGGAATGGCAGTCACTTGTCCAGATTTACAAATGTGTACCTATGAAAATTAAGAAATTATGAAAATTTCATCAGAGTAAATAGAACAGAGTTGAATAAGTAAGACTTGTCTTTTTAGTCAATTTTAGCTCCAAGTTTTATAAAGATTTAATCACCCAATCCAAATATCAACCTATTTTATTCACTAGTATTTACCAAGCTCATTTTTGAATATTGTTTAGAAAAAAAACCTAACATTTAAATCTTCAAAGAAAGTGACTAATACTATTTTGTGTATATAAAGTATTACTTAGCTTAAGAAAATTCTGACTATGACAAGAATAATCATTTTGTATTACCTTTACTTCTCTGTTAGAGGTGTTCAAATATGGAGTCATTAAATCTAGTCTTAAGAGTTCCACTGGCTTGCTTAAAGGTATACAGGGCAATGAGGACAGATCCAAAAATACACGTATAGGTACCTAGAAAAAGTACAAATTTTTCACTTTTACTCAATTCTTTCTGTGGCCCAATGACCCTGAAGTGCTTACTTTGTACCTGCATCAGTATGATACAATGCTTTTTACACCTAATATCTCATTTAATTTAATTCCCATATCAATCTTAAGGCATAAGGATTTTCATGATTCCAGTTTTATAAGAAGGATGAACAAACCAAGGCTTAGGCAGGTTACATAATTTGTTATGGTTTCAATTATCTATGAATTCTTTTCTTAGATGAAAGCAGATTAAATTTTTACTTAAGCCAAATAGCTCCAAAAATTTGAAACACAGATGTGCTTATGTGTGAAAGATGAACTAATTAGCAAATAGTACAATATTATTGTACTGTTTGAGAAAATACCAAATAATAGTGGATTTCATTTGTAAAATAAAGTTTAATTCTAGAAAGCAATGTTTCCCAACTTCGGCTGCAAGTTAAAATCACCTAAAGAGCTTTTTAAAAGCCTCAACTGCTCAGGCCATACCTCAGATCAATCTGGAGTTGGGAGCCAAGTATCGATAGTTCTGAAAGTTCAGTCAAGGTTGAGAGCCACTGCTATAATGGGTTCCATCAATTTTAGCAGCAATAGAACCTTCCTACCAGTAACTTTAGCCTCTTCAATTTGAAACAGAAAGGAAACTGTTGTTTTAAAAGTGCCCTCTTTCCTTTGAGTAAAATATTAGCAACTGTTCATGGTGAAACAGTGGACACAGATATACCAACCTCTTCCTGGGCATCCTGAAGGCATCCAAGCTTCCCTCACCATAAAAACAGCAATTCCATGCCATTTCCAAGACTGATTATGCCCTTTACCCTCATTTGTATCAGTCACCAGAAGAAGCCCTAAATTCCTTTGTTACCTCTCATCACAGGCACTCTACTCCTTCATAGCCTGTCCTCACTTCTATTTCTCAACCCAGCCCACTGGCCATCCCTGTCATCTGTGTTAATTCTTCGCACATTTCCCATCTAGAGCTCATTATTTCATGAGTTGTCTAGAGTTCAGTTCTTTCTATATATGCCCAAGGTGATTTCACTCAGACTTAGGGCTTTAAATATCACCTACCACATTTTATCTCTAGCCTGTATCTTTCTCTGAATTCTTATAAATGATCCTGCAAACACATAAATGCAACCTAATCCTCCTGCTATTTTCCCCAAATCAGTAGATGGTAACTATCCTTCCAGGTGCTCTCATTACCCACATCCAATCTATCACACAATGCACCTTCAAGTATGTCTACAGTTGGAACTCTGCACCGTCTCCACACTGCTATGACTCACTCCTAAGTCACTACTACCTCTTACCTGGATTACTGCAATAATGCCTTTGCCTGCTCTCACAAGTGGCTTACTTCTAACCCCTTAACCATAGTAACCCTTTCAAAACAAGATACCTCATGTCACTCCTCCACGTGTTTTCCACCCTTTTCATAGTAAAAGTCTTCCTATGACCAAAAGGGTCTATAAGATCTGGTTCCTAATACTTTTCTGACTGCATCTTTCATCTGACTCACCTCATGGTATCTTCCTGCTGTTTCTGAACACTCCAATCATGCTCTTGCCTCAGGCCATTGCATGTGTTGATCCTTTGACTTGTTTATGATTTGCTTCCTTATTTCTTCAGCTCCCTGCTTAACTACCACTTACCCATGAGTCCTTCCCTTAGTCATTACCTATATGAAACAGTATGTATCACATACCCCCATTCCCTGTATTTCTTAACCTGCTTTATGTCCATAGCACTTCTAACCATCTATCATACTAATCTTTTTACTTGTTTATTATCTATTTCTTGTTTGCCAATTTGAGTGCTAGCTCCATGAATGCAGGAATTTATCTCTTATTTTCCTAGGCCAGTAAAAAAACAGAAGAGAAGGGATATGAAAAGTATACAGACCATGAATACAAACTATTAAGGAAGGGAGGATATAAGACAGGAAGTACAGTGAAAAGATGGCAAGGTCAAAATTTAATAGATTCTGATGGGACCAAAGAGTTGCTTGCTGATCAAGAGGGAATAAGCTAGAAAGAAAGGAGATGGTGGTATTTTTGAACCACACAAACAATTTAAACTTCTGTCTTCTTTTTTTTTTAAGTTTATTTATTTTTTTAGT